TGCTGCGTCAAGCGGGCTACGATGAACTGGTGGCTACTAACGGCCCATTCATGGAAAGCGTCCCCGAGAACGAGGACACACGGCAAAGACGGCGCCGTCAACAGGCCGGGCGGGGATGTCACAGGAAGCCCCGCGAACATCAGCTGCTCCCGGTGAACGCGCTGGCTTGGGAACAATAATTGGGAATAATACCGCCATTTGTCAATAAGAGCGATGCCTCGGAGAGCGCCCTCCTGCGGGGCGAGGGTGGGCGGGTGCGCAGCGACTCCCTAGGTGGTAGCAATCGCCAGTGGACCTTCTGGAAGCAATCTGGCCAAATTAGCCCAGGCCACGAAGATGTTCCTAACCTTTGATCTAAAGGCCACCTGGCGGTGCCAGAGGAGAGGCCCAGTGGGCTACCTCAGTTTGTGGACAGCAGCTCCAAAGGGACCAGCCAGGGCAGGGTGTGTGGCGGGCGCAACGGAGCCCTCCCGAGGCCCGGCCTGCGTCCTGACCCCGGAGACCAGCAATGTGACCCCACTGGCAGGTGTCATTAAGTTGAGCTTATGCAATGAGATCACCTTGGACTATGTGAGTGGGCCTCACATCCATTGACAAGTGTCCTTATAAGCCATGGAAGGCCATGTGACTGGAGGCAGAGGTTGGAGCCAGGAGGCCACCAGACCAGAAACACCTGGAGCCCCCAGAGGCTGGACCCTCCCCAGAGCCGGCCCTGTGACACCTGGGCCTGACTTCTGGCCTCCACGACTGTGAGGGGCACCATTTCAGCCAAGTGGTTTGTGGTAATTTGTCGCAGCAGCCCTGGGCGTGAAGTGCTGAGGTCCACTCAGGTCTGTTCCTGGAGGAAGATGGGGCTCGCCACCCCCGTGGGCCCTGTGGGCCCCGTCTCCTGTCTCCCTCTCCTGATACTGGGCTCATCGGCCACACTCGCACACAGACTGGAGGGCAAGGGGGCCTGTGATGCCACGTGGACGGGGGCGGCTTGTGGGCACTGAGTGAGTGGGAAGGGTGGTAGAGGGGGGCGGGGGGCACGTGGAGAACAGCTGGCACAGGCCCACAGCTGTGTCGCAGAGACGGATGGCTGCTCACACCTCAGAGACGGGGGGTGCAGGACACCCTCCGGGGGCCAGGGAGGGTCTGTAGACATGGTCCTGCGAGGGGACCTACAGAAGACAATGCAGAGCTCTTCCTGGGCCTCAGAAGGGTCCTGTGGAAGGCCAGCCCTGAGGGGCCAGCAGCTGGACCCTCCTCTCTGCCCCACCCCAGCCGACTCCTACCCTGCCTGTTGGCTCTTCCCACAATGGGCGGAGGCAAGCCCACTGAAGCCCCCCCCAGAGAAAGAGGGCCAAGGGGGCCAGCAATGGCTTAGTAAGCCATTCTGGCTTACTAAGTAACTGATTAAGTAAGTAACTGGCTCATAGATTAGAGCAGAATGTGTCACTGCGCTCCTGGAATGGCACCCTGGGGGAGCACATGAATGGGAGTGGCCTGGGGCTGGACCGCCCACTTGCACTTCGGCAGGCCGGGCCTGGGCCTGTCTGGGGGACACGGGCACGACCAGGGTAGGCAATAAGAACAGCATACGGCCGAGGTGGGCATCAGGGCTCCTAGGGGTGGGTCCCTTCCAGGCCCCTGAAGTGTGGCCTTAGAAGCTGTTGGGTCTCCTGGCTGGTCTCTCACAGCACCTGGGGCCAGTCACAGAGGAGCAGTCATCACCATCTTCCCGAAGGGCAAACCGAGTCCCCGAAGTCACAGCCAGGCAGGCCAGAGGCACTTGGTTGGGGCTACCGCCGAGCCATGCCTAGGTGACATAGTCTCCCCTCTTTGGCTCCTGTGGGCCCCAATCCTCCCGGGCTTGCCTGAGCGAGAGAGAAGAGCCCTCTTTCTGTGAAGCTGGCCACGGAAGCCTTTCCCCCCCGCATCCTCCGGCTAGCGCTGGCCCAGGACCTGTCACGTCTCAGGCCAGCTCGGCCTCTGCCACCAGCTTGTCTCCTGGTCCTTCCTCAGAGCCCTAGGTTTGGGTCCCTGACTGGGGACCCCAGCTCTTGCTCTGCACTCCGATGCCTGGCAAGCACCCAGTCTCCAAACTTGTGTCTCCTGGGGGAGCAGGGAACTCAGGCAGGCCAGCCACATGTGTGCCACAGGCGCCGAACCAATGGGGCAGAGCACCAAGCGTCCGCGGTGCAGTGCCCTCACATTTCAGGCCCAGGCAGACAGGCAAAGCTGTCCTCACCCTCAGGGCTTTGCACACAGCACCGGCCCCGGCGTCGCCAGGCCCTTCTGCACCTGAGGACTGGCCAAGCACACCCCTGGGGTCTGCTCTAGCAGCTCCTTGTCCGGGAAGCCTCTCGGACGCGCTTCACCCACCGGGAACCCCCGAGCCCCTGACCGGCGGTCGGACGGAAACCGAGACTGGGCGCTGTGCAAATAGAGGCCTGTGCTCAGCCTCCCCGA